CATCGGTCATGCTAATAAAGCACCTTGAATTGAATTGAATTGAGAGAGAGAGAGACAGGGCAGGAGGGTCAATCCTGAAGCACTGACTGCCTGGACAGCTCCTCTTCCTTCCCCCAGCCACCCCTCCCTTCTCTACTCGGGCGAGACTCTGGAGTATTCAAATGAATGGGGGAATGCAGTACACACTAGAGAAACAAAAGCCAAATTCTGTGTAGATTCATCTTTCGTTAATAAATCCAATCCATAACAAAACCCTTACAAGTTCCAGTTAACTCCTAAGTTTTCAAGCCTAAACTGGCATTAGGACTGCCGGTTGACTGCCAGTGTTAAAGCCCAGGAGTTAAGTAAACATATCTGTGTTATCTAAACACCCTAACGTTCAGGATGCCGGTAACACAGCCCTCCCTGAGCTGCAGGATCTTAGACCTTCAGATCATTCTTTCAGGGTATACAGAGACATGACGTCATCACAAAGTTGTGACATCCTCACAAAAGCTGTGAGATCATCACTCATTCACACCCCCCCCATCCTCTGCACCCGTCTACTGATACACTGACTACTGCAGCTCCTGAGGGATGTCCAATTCTGCACAGGGCCAATCAGCTGAACCCTATTCTCCCTGTGGAAAACTGGGCACGCAGGCTTGACAGACCACTCGGGTACATACCGATCCGACTACTACCACCAAATGTGAGACTGCCGACCCCTGAGCCACAAACTGCAGCCCAAGCATCCACGTTTAATCTGGTGATATGCTGGCTCAGGGGTTGGCAGCCCCATACCAGGAAACGGCTCCCTTCCCCGGGACAAGATCTGCTCCTACCTTTCGAGGAACGGTCATGGAAATGGGCTCACACTTCCTCTCGTGCAGCTTGTAGAACCTGAGCGGACAGAGGGAGTGAAGTCAGTCCAGCTCAGAGTGTGCACCCCGCACTCTGGGTGGGGGAGGGGTACCGTGAGATCAAAGTAAGGAACTCTCCTGCCCCTCCCCATGCAGATCCAGATTCCGAGATCTGAAGATTAACCAACACCGACAGCAGATTCCTCCCCCTCCTGACAAGCAGGGACCCCAAGAAGAGAACAGTAATGAGATAAGAAGAACATCAGAAAACGAGAGAGGTCGCAAACAAGAGGAGAGACCCTTGTGCCCATCTAGCCTGTTCGGTAGTCAGTAGTTAATTGACCCCCAGATCTCATCCAGCTGTTTCTTGAAAGAAACCAGAGAATTGGCCTCAACAACCTGGAAGAAGTCAATTTACAACAGAGAACGGGAGGCACATCCTTTCCACAACGGGTTCTCTCTCCAGCCCCAGTCTGTCGCAGCAGGGCAGTTTATGGCCACCCAGCTGGGGCTGCACCCTGTGGGGTGCTCTAGTGGGAAAAGAAAGAGGCTGTCCCTCAGGTACCTGGCTATCTCACACTTGTTGACATCAACCCCTCTCTTGCACAGGAAGCCCATCCCCCTCTGGGGCTCCTTGCTGGTGAAGCTGTTCAGGAAGTGAACAAAGGGCGGCTCCGCTGTCACCTCGAAGTAGCGGATGCTGCAGTCTCCCTGCGGGATGAGGAGAGGAGAGGCAGAGAGGGGTTAACTCAGCACCATCAGTCACAGTCCAGACACAGAGAGAAACAGTCCTGTATCTCACATTCCCACATGGGGAGATGTTGTTGGGGCTGCAGACTGCAGAGATGGAGACAAGCTAAACAGCAACACAATTACTTACTTCATTTTTTTGTCCCATATGGGAAATTTTCTTTGCATCCAGGTAAAATGAGATAACTCAATGCATAATATATTTAACACATAAATCAGTTAACAAGTACAAAACATTCTGTACATACAATACAGTGCTGCGCTACAACACTAATTACATCACTGCTAAAGAAGAGTAAGAGTACTGGTCCTAGTACAGACCCCTGTGGTACTCCACTAATTAAATAATTGATATAATTAAGAAGAGCAGTGGTCCTGGTACAGTTCCTTGCAGTACTACATTAATTTTCATTTTCTTACTATGTTAATAGGAAAAGACCAGGAATGTCTGTGATGTGTACATGTTAATAGATATTGCCTTGTCAACACTATTTTTCTGTGGTTTTTTTTTTAAATGGCATACATTTTCTTTTAAATGAAAGAGCTCTGCAAGTGTAGCAGCCCTGCAAAGCACATGAGTTTGAGAAGTCTCACCTTCCCGCAGAGGTAGACAATGTTGGTGTCGGGGTCATAGAAAGGCAACAGGACTCCATTGCTGCTGTCCATCTCCTGCATCACCATGGGCTCCTCCAGATCATTCTGTCGGGGCATACAGAGACATGACATCATCATAAAGTTGTGACATCATCACTCATTCACAACTACACAGAGTGACAAGGCATCACAGACTTGAATCACCACATACTAATCTTCATGCACTCACCAAACCATAAAGAGTTGTACAATACTGCACAACGTAAGCAATGTGTGGCTATTGTGGTTGTAGTCTTGTATATGTAGTGTAATTTGTGTACACACAGTGTGTATGTTAAGGGTGCAGCAGTATATTTTGACCTTAGGGGTTCTGGGATATTTTTTCCATAAACGTTTTGAAGGATCGTTAGTTTTTTTGCTTAATTTAAAATGTCCATTTTCACTCTGTTGAAAACATTTCATAGCCATTAGTGGGAAAGATTCAGGTGTTTTCAGTTTTCAAATTCTTTATCTTAAAGAGTGATTATTATTTTAGATGCTAAGTAAATTAAGTAAATGAAAACAACACAAGCTGTTTCTGAGATTCAAAGAATGTGTACTGCTTAAAAACTCTGAAATACACTAAATTCCCACTGCAGGACCACGTTTTGTGGCTAAGTGAAATAAATCCAAAGAACCCATCTCAGAAATACAAGGCGCAAGGAGACTCACCCTGCATAGGATAACAATTAACTCTGCCAAAGGTACTCCACTAATTACATAACTGATCTAATTCAGAATAGCAGTGGTCCCAGTACAGACCCCAGTGGTACACCACTAATTACAGCATTAATCTAATAAAGAAGATCTGTCACCGCTGTCACCCTTCTCTCTTCACAGTCCCACTCCCTCACTCCACCCTGTTCCCCACCCATCTCACCACATCCCACAGTGCCAGCTGTCTCTCGCTCATCCGGCTGAAGCCAGTGGTGAAGATCTTTCCATCAGACAGAAACACAGCTCTCATGGGTCTGGAGCCATCGTGAGCCCTT